GGCAAATTCATCGTTGCTCATGGCTTTTGAGCCACTTCCGGCTCTTTGAGTCAACTTCCTCCACATGTGTTCCACATGTGTTTCACATGTGTTCCTTGGGTCAACTTTCTTCCACCCCTCACAGCACGTCCTGCACCGGTCCCTCCGACCCCCCCCCTGACCACCCCCCTCCGCTTTCTCCCGAAACCGACCGGCACCGTCGTGCGGAGGAGTCGGGACCGGCACGTTCGTTCGACGACGGGAACTTCGTCCTGCAGGTCCTCGAAGAGCTTTCGGTTCTCCTCGTCGGGTCCAAAGACGCGGGTGAACTCATACTCCTGCCGCTCCGCTCCGTCCGTCCGTCCGCCGTCGACCGCGGAAGCGAGGGAGGAAGCGAGGCATCACGCGGTGAGGAACGGAGAGAGGGATCACGGCAGAAACGAGGAGGGCGCGGTATGACCAGAAGCCGAGGATCCAAGCCTAGTGGTAGGTCCGGTAGGTATTGATTGCTGGTGGCAAACAAAGTCAAAAGTCAAAACAACATTCATCAGCATCACATCACATCCCATCCATCGTTATCCATCTTCTCCACGCCTTTCATCTACAGTACATCAGTCGAGCTCTTGAGAAGTTCTTCGCATTTCCAGCAAGCCTCACGAGTAGACACCTCCCGCACCTCCAGCAAATAGCCACGGTGGCAGCACACGCGAGTGGCGTTGGATTCCAAGTCAGCCCACAAAGACACCGGATCTTCGCATAGACTGGGCCTCACATCCAAGTTTGAAACCCTGAAAGGCCCTGAAAATAGGAAGATTGATGTAGCTCAAACATCCAGTCTTTGTCCTTTCTCTACCAAATTGACTTGTGAGACGTGTGTGAACTTGGAGTTGTGCCCTACTAAAGTGTCTATGGATTTGCACGCATTCTACGAGGTTCTGACCTGTTCTTTCGTTTGTGCGCACAACGCATATGTGTCTGTCGATAACGCAGCCTCCATATATCATGCCAACATGCCAACCATCACTCATTCATCTGGTCAAAAGCATTCCAAACATCCTGTAGGATAAAGTCAAGCTCTCTGTCAAACCCATTCTTTGTTGATTGTTGTGCCAGTCACTGGGGAAGATGACAGTCTGACGCACCCTTTTCAAGAAGTCTACACCGAGCATGAACCGTTTCAAGAAGCCCCTCAAAAAGACTCGACGGTGAATGTGACACTCTGCGCACCCCTACAGAAAACTGACACAAGTGTTCCAAATGTTAACCTTTCCCTCAACAAGTGCCCTGTTCTTCGGAGATCCTTTGAGTCAGAAGATCTTTCGTTTCGAAAACCAGCCCAGAAGACGGCTGGTGGACCAATTTCGGGTCCCATCGAATGCTGATGCTTGGCCTTCAGAATTTGACCAACTTGGACATAGAAAATGGATTTCACATCGCTGGATGGGTTCAATATGGTTTCATAAATCTCCAATGATTGGGTGAATCCACAAAAGGTGGCAAAAAATAACCTTTCGGGGGGTTCCTAGGATGTCCTAGGTGACCCACGTCATGGTGACCGCTGTGACCCCTGTGATTGATTCATTCATCAAGAGGTCTCAACCGAAGGTCTCACACACTGAAGACTGACCCAGCCTGATGCGAACCGCCACCTGACAGGCGAAGCGCTCGTCTCAACGGCTTCGGGGCCCCATGAGCCCCACGGTTCAGGGAGGCTCCGCTGATGTTTCATCCTGCGGCCCAGTGGCCAAATGGGACCAATGCGGCAAATGCGTTTTGAACTTCCGGGGAACCCAAAAATGTTCATCCTCAACAGAGGTATGTCATTTCTTAGTCAAATTGTTTGGTTGGACAGGGACTGCGTGGTTCAAGAAATCAGATCACAAAGGACAGCCTGGTGGCCGGCTGCGATGCAACTGAGCTTGCAAAAGAAAGGCCTGGCTTTCATGCTCTTACGTTGGTCTCATGTTCATGCGGCTTGCCAGTGCTGCCCTGCAACCCGGACCTCCTTACCGCACTCTGAAGTTCAAAGCGCAATCATCCAAAGCAGTGGTGGTATGGCCAAATCCCAAGTCAACACCACTTGATCTTGGTGATTCATCAAAGTCCACCAGTCATTGAGTCTTGCGGTATGTATAGTTGTCCTCCTCCCGACAAGCCTAAACACCCACCCAGGGATGTTAGGACAACGTAGGACAACCAGGTTCTTCAATCATATGGGTCCTACAATGTCCTACAAGTGTCTGCGGCATGTCCAAACTACGTGAGGCGGGAGTTTCAGAGTTGCCACTTTAACTGGCTATTGCCGACGACAGACTTCTACTGCATTACATTTTCACCTCATTTCGGCAGCAACTTCGCAGTGGGTGGCCACCCTTCTTACGTCAATAGGTTCCCAAAAGACTCACAAGACAAGGAATCCGAACACACATATTGTTACATAAATGGTATATGATAGAACATGATAGAACACCGACCGTTTGAAGGGGTCCATTTGAAGGGGCGAACTTCGCTCGTTCGCAACGGCCCTGACAGAACTTGTCGAGTTTGAGGGCCCCAGCTGAGACGAAGGGAGCAGACTTCATGGGCAAACCCCTGGCAAATCGACGGAGGGACGGCAGGACATGGGAGGACATGGCAGGACGGCATCACAATGTTGAGTCTGCACCTTATGGGTCATGTGAATCAATCAAGAACCTATTCAGTGGCAAGTGGCAACCTCTTGAAAACGTTATCTGTACGCTGCCATTGTTTCAAATAAGCATGTCCATCTACTAAAAATACCAATCGGAAGCCAATACGTCGTTCACAATCTTTCACAGATTGGAGCAATGTGAAAGTTGAAACGACATGTCTTTCGCGGCTTGATTGTTTGTTCGGGGATGACTTCCACCTCCTCAGAGGCCACAAAGATCCCCTGTCGATCCCCCATGTCGACGACTCGGACAGTAGCACATCTAGAACGCCAGGACGAGAAGGACAAGAATTGTTCATGTTTGAGGTCTAAGAGTCTAAGACTAAGAGTTTAAGAGGGATCTAAAGGGACTCTTCTACCCAACATGCAATATGTTCATCAGCCAGGAGGTCCTCCTAAGGTTCTTCGATGTTCTTCTACAACTCACTTCAGGTTCTGTCATCACATGTCATCACTCAACCCGGTTCGCTGTTGCTTGAGGTTCTTCGCACACATGATTGTTCTTCCAAAAAGGGCCACCAACTTCTTCCAAGAGAAAGGGCAGCAACTCTCGACATGTTTTCCATGTTTTTATGCAGAATCCAACAGCAATCGAACCAAAGTGCACCGACCCACCGACCCCCACTGCATCGAATCTGCAGGAATGAATGAAAAGGACCCGGACCGCCTCACGTCGGCCTGGACCAGCTACGAGCATGCGAGAACATGGAGAAATCGTCCAGCAAAAGCTGCAAAACCACGGGAAACTGAGCAAAGTGTTATAGAATCGAACACCCCCATGGGTTCCATGTTTGGCGTTTTGAGGTGTTGTTGTGAGGCGAAATGATGGAAGGTAGAAGAATCCGGTTAAATGTTTCCAAGTGTCACACCTTTCTGCGGCTTCCTCTGATTTCCGATTGTGCCTCATCTTCCTGAACTCAGCCCAACTGGTTTAGTGATTCTGACAAAACCTTCTCCGTAGCAAACTTTCTCCACAACACGACCAGCCGCAGGCTGCAGCGCTTGCAGCTGCTATGGCTTGAGCAAGCACTTGGATTCATGAATGACGGGACCCATACAAACAACTGGCAAAAGTGAAAATAGAATCAATCCATTGATACGCGTAAATGCAACAATCATGGAAGTGGAGGAAAGCAGAATACATGTTAGTTTTCCGAGGGACCATTTTCGGGTTCCATGATTGTTGGAGGGAGGGCAGCAATTCAAACACATACCCATTCTGATCCGCCGCATCTCTGCAAGCCTCTGCACGAGCCATGGCTCATCAGCGTGCATTGAGTGTACTGGCCATAGGCCGAGCATGCATTTGGACTAAGAAATATAAGTGTACTCCGGTCGATGGCTGGGGCTGTATCAAACCAAAGACATGCCATGCACAGTCACAGTCTATGGCCATCAGTGCACCAAGGAGTCCAAGGACATCTAGACATGCTGCAGAAGGCCAACAAAGTGATACATATTGAAGGTTCGCAGGCAACTTTGCACGGGTCCTTTTTCAACAACCATTGGCTAGCAGTGCGTTTGACCATTGCACAGTTGATCACACATCTCTGGAGTCTCCATATAGACGCATCTTTGATTTGCTTGGAACCTTCCACCTGAGCTCCGCATTTCAAGCTTCTTTAGCTTCTCTGCGGTTATGCTGAGAGAGAGAGAGAGAGAGCGCGGTCGTACAATAGCTGCTGCTAGCTGATCAACCACTGATGACTTTCCGTTCAGGAAGTCAGGATAGAAGTTTGGAAGTCGCCACCTCTTCTCGCGACCCCGGCGAATTTCGCCACCCCAGGATCGAACCAAAAAACAAGAATCATTGATACACCCAGGAGTATCATCCAAACTGAATCAAATTGGCGGATATTGATGGCGTTTTTCGTGGTTGGTCGCCAACGGTTTGCCTTCTATTCTGAATGGCCATCCGACTATAGAAGACCTTTATCCACCATTCCTCCCGCCAGTGCTCCATCAAGCCCCCTCCCGCAGCCCCACCCGCGCCCAAAAAAAGAGGCCCAATGAAGATGCAATGAAAAGTCTAAGTTTGAGCCACACGAAGGGTTCTGCATGAGGCTAGGTCAGTAGAGTCTGCATGCGAGTTTACGACCTTAAATTCTCACCTGTGAAGGATGTTGCGCAAGCTCCAACCACTTTTTGTGCTTTGCGTCAATCCACGATCTCTGCATCCAAATGCGCTGAGGCCATGTGCGCCTGGAATTGACTGCTTGGTTTTCTCCATTCAGGATTGCTATGGCATACTGGACTTCAGGAGACTGGGAGCCTGTGACGCACAGCAGAAGACGTTCGCCCTGGGCGTTGCCCCATCGAAATGGCAAGGGCAGAATTCTCGGCCAATACAAAGAGGTTGTTGTCCACTTCCATGATTGGTTCAGGAAAGCGTAGAATTCATGATGATTGTGATTCATTTACTTTCTCATACTTTCCCTGAGTCCTCTGAAAGGGGCCAAGAAAAAAGGGAAAGCATCGAGCAGGAGAAAGAATGGCACTTCGACCAAACGGTGGGAAAACACAGACCCAACGCCAGAGCAAAACATCTCCAGTCAGGTCACGAAACGTCCTTACGCCTCCGAACTGGTGCCCATCAGCACCGCCCCATCACGGGTGCAGAACAAGTCGAACAAGTCACAGGAAGAATCCCTAGCTCCGAGAGCCTTAGATATCTTAGATGAAGTCGAGAGCCCCTCTTGACCCTTACCACTTGGACCGCACCAACCCCACCGACCCCAGCACCAGGGAAGGCCCATGAAGGCCCCAGGGCCCCGCAGGGCCGCAGGCAGTCCTTGCGCGGCACCAGGTTCTCCGCATCGTCCATGTCCTCCTGAAGTTGAGGCAAACATGCCGCACTGTTCGCCATGCATCACAAGAAAAGGCGGATCATCATCTGCTCCCTGAGGGTATAGAAAGATTCTTCCGTCACCCGTCTACCAAAACATGCCTTTCTACATCCTTCTACCCAACTGTCCGCCCGAATTTGTTGCTGTCTCGTTGCACTTTCTTCAGAGATTTCTTCGAAAAAGAAGGGGGCAACTTTGTGGGCTATTCGCATCACGTTCCGAAACAAGGTGATTTCCCCAACTCTTGGTCTCCACCTGCCATCCTCCCGAGCTCCAGTTGCTTCGCCCAGGCGGACAGGTCTTTGGACCTCACCGGCTGATCCATTTGCAGCTCCTGCGCCGGAGCGTCCACCCTTCGGAGCCCGGGTCGGTGGTGGTCCGTGGGTCGGATCGGTCTGAATGGACGAACGGAAGGACCAGAAAGTAGATGGTTTGAATCAGTGATTACTTAGTTCACCTTAGTGAGAAACTGGATTCATCCCAATTCATCCCCAAGTAGATCACAGGTTGGAGATCAGTGAAGAATTGAGTTTCAATTCGATGTCAGGAAGACTCTTCGCCGGCATCAGCTTAGGCCCCTTTTCTCTCTGGTCGCTCAAATGAACGTCTAAAGCTGGATCTCCAAATGGTTCCCTTAACTCCATTGGGCACCAGTATCGGACTTCCCGGACTCCATCCATCCGGTGATTGGAAGGAGCATGTTGAGCCAAGGATGTGACATGTCATCATGCCTTCGCTTCCACATCTTCTACTTCGCTGCCTTCTTCCAAGAGCTTTGCCCACTTCGCACAGTAGCAGGTGTTCTTGCAATTCACCCAGTGCAGGCATGAGCGCTTCTGAGTTCCGTAAACTCAGAGCTTCATGCATGCCTCTTTGATACTCACTGATAAGCCCTGCTTCTTCACCAGTACCTCACCAGTACCAACCAGATTCAGAACCAATGTGGCGTTGCTATTGAATCCCAAACAACCTAAAACGTCTGCACGCACATCTCACTCACATTTACAGTATCTCAGATTCATCTCACAGCACGGAAGCGCGAGCAAGTCACTAGCACAAACCATGCCCTGTGCGTTGCCCTCTTGGCCCAGGTAGTACTTGGAATTGTCGGGGCACCTCAGCAACCAAGAGATTGTTTGGAGAAGAAATAGACTTAGCTAGCTACAACACCGCTTAACAATGTGCTTGATCTTGCTTTTGATTCTTCAAATCCCCACTCCCGCCCACCAATAGACTCGACAAGGCACTTCTTCCACTCGTTGCAATCAGCCTCTTCAAGCCCTAAACCTTCGATCCTGAGGACAGCACAGTGTCATCACGTCAACTACCCGTATTCCCTGCCATCTCCTGCCACTCGCTTATCCAACCCGCTCATGTATAGCAATGTATATATGACACAACAGAAAAAAATGGTGCTGAACAAATGGACTTCATCTCCACAAGCCGTGTTTAGTGACTTACTGAGAGGCATGCAATGGACTTCACTCTTTTGAAAAGGTATGCAAAGGTATTGTATATTGAATGGAATGAAATGGAATGAATCCAAGTTGAAATCGGTTCGGCGAGCATCTGAAGCAGGTCAAAGAGCACTCACCCTCACAGCTGTCATCCAGCAAGGCATTCACCTCCTCTTCCACCAGGGTACCATAGGCATAAGCCATTGAGACGCAGAAGAGCACTCGCAAGAAGTTTGCCATGACTCAGGGTTCAAGCAATCGATGAGGAAATTTAGACAAAAATAGAGCATTGAGACTTCTCCGTACTTATCCCATGTTCACTCCGCCCAAAAAATCACATTCAAAACTGATGTGATCACCAACCAAGTTCTCGAGGGATTTCGAGTGCTGAAACCGGCTGCGCCAAAGGCTGCGATGCACAACGACGAGTCACCCCCAAATGGTGGTCAAATCCATGCGACAGTTCCCGAAAAGAAGCATTATGCATTGTGCACTCAAACTCAAAAGGTCAAAGAGTCCAGCTCAGCTCAAGCCGTGCTCCGCTTGCTCCCGCTCTCCTCCAGAAGCTTCCGACTCCGAGCTCGCAAGTCTCGTAGCTGAGCCAGTACATACTGGCCGCCCACCGGAACGACGGAACGACGGGAAGGACAACGTCCACGGGGAGGTCCCCAATGGACGAAGCGGAGCAAAGCATGCGGGCCCGGGGTGGTTTCCGAAGCGACGTGGTGGGTGTTTTTTCCCCGAAGCGATTGAAATGCGGAAACACCACCAGAAGCGGAGCAAAGCTTCACCGCCGGAAGCAGAAAAATAGCTTTGAAGATCTTGGAAGCTACCTTTGGGAAAAAACGGATTGTTTGAGGCCCCAACAGGTCCCCCCCAACGAGGGCGAGAATCTCCGAGCCTGGTCACCATGGCCGTAGCAAGGCCAAAGCCTTACAAAGCCAAGTACAGGAATTTGATTAGTCACCTTAAAGATCTTGAAGTAGTAATTAGGCAGTTAGTTATCCATGCTTTATCTACTGCAAAGCTATTATAAAGCACCAATTCGACTCAACAAAAATCAAAATAAAAAAAAAAAAAACATAACAAACTTTAAACATATATATATATAAATAAATAAACAAATAAGGCATAAGAATAGTAATAATCCATACTAGTATCCCTTTGGGTCCCACTAGGCCGTCCCCGACCGACACGGTCCCGCCCCCGGCCTCGTCTTGTCCCGGTAACGTCTCGAGGAACGCCGCGGCCTTCACCGAGAGAAGCACCGAGAGCTGCGGGTCGGTCCGTCCGAGCCGCGTCGATCGGTGAGAGCGTCAAACGAGGAAACCGAGACGGGGCGAATATGTTTGTTTGGTTGGAGAGATATGTTGCAGATATTTGAGGTATATCTCATGGGTATAAAACGATGTAGATATAATATAATATATAAATATGGGGTATAGTATATCATGTGTTTCCTCATCTGCTCCTTTTCGTGTCTTTCATGTTTTGAACAAAACATTGTCTTGTTTCCAAGGTTTGTCCAAAAATTATTCCATGTGTTTGCATGTACACTTCAAAACTGGAAGAACTCGCAGTGCAGTGCGAAGTTTTCCATCAATTGTCATCAATCATACTTTCCAGCTTTTGGTGCACCAATGCACGCAATGTCTAGGCCCACGCAAAGCCACCTTGATACCAGAAAGATCTCAAGAAAACAAACATTTTAAAAAAATGAAAAACAAGACCTAGAAATCCATAGGTGTAGCTGTTTCGCCATCTTGCCAATCGGGCCAATCATACCCAATCATTGAGTATGCCTCATGTAATGTACCATATGTGCCCAAATGTTTGGCTTTGCACAACTCAACTCTGTGTTCAACTCATCACAACCCCACCAGCACACGTTCCGTGTTTTGGTCGAGAATCACCCAAACGACCCATCCACCATCGGCTCGGCGGCGCCCGGACCTCGGGGTGCCCCAAATCTCGTGCTGAGCGCGCCAAGGAGGCGGCCTTGGCGAAGTCTTTGTCGCAGGCAACGCCTGACCGAAGTCAACTGGTGGGATGAAGCCAGGGTCGTCCCCACGAAGTGCAGCGGATGCGCCAACCGAAAATGGCCAAGATATGACTCTGTTGGGCCACTCCTATACATTGCTGCATGCATACTGCAATTGTTAAGTCTCGGATCGTAGACCATGTTGTTCCAATATGTCCAATGCCTTGCAGACCCATCTCAGGTCACCGAGAGTTGAAGAGGTGTCGGTATCAATCGACCCATATATGAGGCCTTTGACATCTTCCATAATCAGAAGCAAAGGACCACAACACCTGGTCACAAAAAAAAGAAAAAACCTGCACATGTCATGCCACGCTCAGACCCGTCACGACCCGAAACAAAAAGAGCACCTTCTGCATAGAGCAAAGCTAAGTTGAAACAACCTTGGAGCTGGGCCCCAAACTTCGGGCGCGACGGGGTTCTGGTGCGATGCGCGGGAGGCGTGGTCCTATGACCCCTACATGACACGACGGGCGGCCCCATGGGGCGTATTCTGTGGGCAGCTCATGCACAAAGGAAGAAAAGGATTCTCTCCAACAGGGTCGCAAAAAGGATGGTTGTCACCTGGGGTTCCAAACTCCCAGGGTCCCCATACCCGATCTGCAAGACCTGTGGCCATCGTCCTCGTGTCCACTTTCCCATCATCATCGACCAGAACTGTTCTCCAACTGTTCCATCGGTTGGCAATCAGACCAAACGATCTCCAGCCATTCGCGGTCGAAGATCCAATCTATTTCCAACCCAGGAACTGAGTCCAGTTTGAAGCACCCGAAGCACGAAAGCTATAACGGTATAGACATGTCTAGACTACAGTATCGCATGCGATACAGCCGACTCTAGCCCTCTTGTTGCCATGCGAGCTGCCATTGGGATCGCCCTGGTTTGCAGAAGCTTCCTCAAATGGCTGAGACTGGCGCTGGTCAAGTTCAGAACTGGCTTAACGGTTTGACCACCAGGTCTACATGTTCTACCAACTCAATGACGGTGTTCAAGGTCCTCAGAAACGGATGAATATCTAAATATCAGTTGTCTCCAATTCTTTGATTGTCTATCATCGCTATTAGCAGGGCACTTGGCCAACATCTTCAAATGCGTCGTTCCTGTGTCAAAGTTCCACATCAACTTTGTGTGTGGTTTTAGTCCTCTGGTCATTGCCTTCAACGGGAAAATGGCGGACACTGCGTCACTTGACTTGCTTACGCAGCGTCCAGATTGATTTGTACTTCGTGACGCCTAGCTCGTTCCGCTTATGGTTCTGCGCTGCGAACATGATGCGACACCGTGCGCACCGCACGGCGCGGTTCGGGTCGCATTGCGACCACGAGACGTGGGGAGAAAAACGGATCAAGGCGGTTGAAACGCGTTTGGGCCAGCCACTTGAGTTAGCTTTTGTAAGCGTTCTTTTTTCTAAATGGATTACAATGTTACAATGACCCAACAGGGTGAGAGTCCTGGAGGAAGTATAGATGGAAATTTTCAACCATAGTCTTAAAGTCTTAGAGTCTAGGACGCTTGGGTTCTATACATTCTAGTTCAAGGACTCCTGTCATCAACCATGAGTTCACAAGCAGCATAGATGGCCAACATGCTTCTCTCTAATTACAGTACTCGGCAAAGAAACTTGGGATTCAATGATGTGTTCATCGGTTTGGCGATGTTCATGTCCCAAACTCGTACACAAAACGTCCAACGACCATGGCTGCCAGGCGCTGCCAGGCGCACGGAGACTCGGTCGTCTGACACGGCGCTTGCGCTTGCGTGACGGAGTTGTGGTGGATCCGGCTACATCGAAACCGCTCGTGAAGCAGCGAAGAAACACCATGCGAGACGCCCAACTTCCCAGTATGCTGAAGTCTAACAGCTCTCAAACCAAATCCGCAATGGTGGCGAAAGGAATTGCCTCGCATAATGAGGCCAACAACTGTCCATCGGGCAGAAGTACCCGAAGATTTGGAAGGCTAACTCCCAAGTCATTGGCAATGCGCTTGTGAGTATCCCAGGCCAGGTCAGACTCGTTTGCACTCAATCGAAATACCGCATGTCCAGCCAAATCCCAGCATGTCAGCACAGCTTGATCATCTTCCAAGGCGACGCCTGCTTGCAAGACGTAGTCTTTACCAAAGTCAGAAACATAGCTACCGGTTGCAAACACGGGAATGCTGCATTGTCCCTCATCGTTCACTCCGCAAGCAACGGCGCTCCATCACTTTGCAAAAGCACTGAATGAAGCCCTCCTGCAGAAACTTGCGTGTAGCGCATTCCCTCCTCCAAAGGTAGAATGTCGCATTGTCCACCATCGTTCATCCCGCAAGCAACAGCGTTCCCATCACTTCGCAGAAGCACT